AATGGCTTCTAGGAGTTGGGGTACATGCAGCTTTCTAAGGGGTAAGTTTCCGAGGGGGGAAGTTCTAATAACCCCGCCCCTGAGCTGTGCCCCAGGCACAAGGGCATAGCTCTGAGCCCTTATGGGTGGTTATTGCTAGCATCAACCCCATCAGGAGAAGAAGAAGCAGTGACTCTCGGCTCAGATTAACAGGTCTATTCTCACAGATGGGATGACAAGTTATTAGAAGGGAGCTTTTCCCCAAGTGGAAATACTGTTGGGAAGACAGTTTTCAAATCATGGTGTAGTATTGGGAAATTGTCTCAAGCACTCAAGTTCACAGCTGTTTTGTACATGGCCATACCCTGTGGGCCTTTCCTTAAAGCCTTGGATTCAGGTTCTCAGGGAAATACAGACTTTGAGGGCAGCTCCCAGCAGCCGCAGTGCCACCAGCTTAGCTTTGTCACAGGAGGACAACCTTCAGATCTGCTCAGGACTGCAGCATTCAGGCCAGACAGGACACTGCAGGCTTTGGTTTCAGGACTCCCAGATGGAAAGGGAGTTGGCTCAAATGAACTTGAGCAGCACTTCAGATTTCCATGAGTACTTGAAAGTTTCCCTGATAGTGACAATAAAGGCATATTTGATCTTCGATCCCATGCCCATGGATAGCGTCTAGAGGTTCACAGACAAGCACTTGAATCCAGAGAATGAGGAGTTATTCTTTGTATGGGACACACAAATCTGAAGCTCTGAACTCAGTGAGCATCAGGGCTTGGGCCAGGACAAAGTGAGGAACTGCAGCATCAAAGAGTTGTGTCAGTTGGTGAGTTTGCACTGGCAAACCAAGTGAAACATTGTGGAAAGTGGTTCAGCTTCTCTGAGAGCCCTTAGTCAGGTCAAAAATGGGAAAAATTTTACCAGTTTCTATTCTTGATTCCCAATATCATCTGCCAGGAGCTCAATCTAGCCAATAGACTCTTGGGCTTTTTCTGAGAACCCATGGTGATGTGCCAAGTTCAACAACAGTTAGTCAAAGGCTTGGGCTGGTACAGTTTTATTTCTGGGGAAGTGAACTTGCACTCCTAGTTCATGAGACATTACCTTAGAGAAACGGCTTCAGTGCCATTGGGTACGTGGTTATTGACCCACTTGGCAATTGCTTATTGATCCAGGAGGCAGACACACCTCATTCATAAGTGCTCACCCACTCAGCTCTTACAGATGCAGAGTCTGGTGATGGGTGGAAGGCATTATCATTAGGATATTTCTGCTAATGTGTGTGCATGATTATAAGGAAGATTACTTCTGTTATCAGGGCAGAGGACTTAATGCAAGCTATGAGTCTCTGGCCTAGCCCAGATGAAATATTAAAATTGTCTTACCAGAGAGCACTGGAAAAAGAAGCAGAGGGTCTTAAGGTTTAGCACTGTAGCACTGTCCTCCTGTTGTTCATCGATTTGCTCGAGCGGGCACTAGTAACATCTCACAACAAATTGTGAAACTTGTTACTGTTTTTGGCATATCAGACACGTCACGAATAGTTTGCCAGGCATTGCTGTACGGGCGAGATACTCTTGGTAGCTTGTCGGGCTCTCTGAGAGGGGTAGAGGCATCAAACCGGGGTCAGCCGCATGCAAGGCAAATGCCCTACCCACTATCGCTCCAGCGAAACTCTGGTTTCTCTTCAGATCATATAAATCTTAAGGTGGTATGCAAGGAAAATTCATCTCTCAATACCTCTTAGAAATGCTCCAGACATCTTAGTCTGGGTAATTTCAAAGAAAAGCTATTGCTACATCCACCAGAATGGTAGGTTCTTTGTGGAACCGGGCACATATAAGTCTGGACATGCCATGGTAACTTCCACTGCTGTGGTAGAAAGTGGCAGCTTGCGCTAAAAGACAATTCCGTGCAGCTAGCTGAACTCATAGTTTAGACCAGAGACCCAGAGTTAAGTGAAGGCAGATCAGTCAATGTATACACACACTCCAAGTATTCTTTCTTGGTATTTATTGCCAATTTAGCCGTTTGGGAAAAAAGGGGGATTTTTGACTGGCAAGGAAAGCACCATTAATTATGGATCTCAAATACTCAAATTACTCCATGTGGTGTGCCTGCCCATAAGGGTGGCAGTTATGTTTTGCAGAAGTCACCAGCAAGGCAATAGTGACATGACACTAGGAAACAGAAGTGCAGATCTGGAAGCCAAGAGGACAGCCACAAGTATACAACCAGCTGATAAAGTCATGGCTCTCATCCCTAAGCTACATCTTGGTGATGCCTGCCCCTTCTATGCAGAGGAGAGACCATGGGCACTATCCCAAGGATATGAAGAGAAAGAAGAATGGGTGATATACTACATTTGCCCCAATATCTCCAGTGGAAGGCTAGAAAGGCCAACATGATTCTTGTCATTTAGGGAGGGATAAACTTTGTCTCCTCAGTTGTTCAATCTTAGTGGAAAGGGACTAAGACCTTAGAATGAGTATGCCAGAGTTGTGAAATTTGTGCTCGCAGTAATCTCCATGGAGCTCTGCCTCTCAAGTTAATCAGCAGCATATAGAGACGTGGTACATTATTCGGGGGAAAACCAGCAGCTTGACTTTGCTCAGTTACTCCCACAGGGTGGCTTCCAGTACTTATTGGAATGGTAGGCACTTTCACTGGATGGGTAGAAGTGTTTCCTACCAGGTCTGAGAAGGCACAAGAAGTGATTAAGACTCTTTTCCAAGAAATAATTCCCGATTTAGACTACCCTGTAGGTTACAGAGTGATAACGGTCCTTCCTTACTGCAGAAATAACTCAGCAGAGAGCCAAAGCGTGAGGAATAAAATATTACTTACATTCGGCTTGAAGACCTCAATTATCAGGAAAGATAGAACGAATCAGACCTTGAAAACACAGTTCAGGCAACTGTTGAGAACCTTCTCAGAACTGGAGACAGGTTCTTCTTCTGGCTTTGCTTGGTTGGTGCATTGCTCTTACCACAGATCTGGGGCTCCCTCCTTTTGGGGCTCTCTATGGAAGGCCATTCATTGCACTGAACTGCTTTTTGTACCAGAGTAGTCCTTGCTGCAGAAGCATGCTCTCTTCCTTAGTTCTTTTCAACAGACTCTGTGAGACTTTGGCCAGGACATGTTCCCTGAGCCCCAGTTCCCAACATGGGAACTTTATCCTCTCCAGGGTCTCTATAGTGTTAAGACTTACGGGAGTGGAATTTACCAACCAGGATGGCAACCTGTGTGGAAGAGGCCATTCCAGATCCTTCTAATTGCCATTAAAGTTTCAGGATGGGCTGGAGCAATAGCACAGCGGGTAGGGCGTTTGCCTTGCACGTAGCCAACCCAGGTTCGATTCCCAGCATCCCATATGGTTCCCTGAGCACTGCCAGGAGTGATTCCTGAGTGCAGAGCCAGGAGTAAGCCCTGTGCAACGCCAGGTGTGACCCAAAAAGAAAAAAAAATTTCAGGAAATCCAAGCTAGATTCACAACTCTACAAGGGTCACTCCCACAGTAGGGCACTGAAGCTCTGATAAAGGTTGCTCTTCATCAGTAGAAATAAACCTAGATGCTAGTGCAAACCGTAAGGACAAGATGTATGAAGCGCAACACCTAGAAGGTCTGAAAAATCTCTTCAAGGCCACTAATTAAGAGTGTTCTTCACGTGTAAATAGTTCTCTGTCTTTCTATGAGTGTAAGGAATTTCTTTATACTTTCTATTTTGTTATATAGGAACACCTTCTCCAATGTTCCATGGCCTTAGTTAAATGTTTTTCAGTTGCCCTTATATAACCATGTCTGTTTCTTCAGAGTTATGGAACCCCAGTGAACATTCTCTCCCTGGACACCCAGAATTAGGTAGGATGGCACACTAAGACATGGAACCCAGTACAGACAGGGCTTGGATGCCCAGGTAGTGACAAGGTGCTGAGCACAGGGTCTCACCAACATGCTTGTGCCGTGGCCAGAGTCTAGGAAAGCCGGGACAGAAGACAGAAACTTTTGGGGTACAGTTGGGAGGCCCCACGACAGGTACAGAGCACAGGGATCTCACCCACACGCGTGTGGCGTTGCTGGAGAGTGGGGGAAGCAAACAGGGGAGAGCAGCATGGGACAGGACCTGGCCTTGTTCACAGGAGGTGAGTATACTGTATGGGACAAGACAGTTCATGGGACTGGACTGCATAAGGGACAAGACTGCTGATGTTGTTCACGGGTAAAGGAGAGGCCTGGACATCTGGAGAGGGACCCAGAACCATCTGCCTTTTTTTGTACAATAAACTGACATTCAATCTTCCGAGTTTTGTGGTATGCAAATCTTTCATCCAATTCTCAAAAACCCATCAGTGCAGGAAAGTCCACCTTTGTGCTAACAATATCATCTTAACTTTCTTGTGTGTCCTTTTATATCTTTAAATGTTCACATTTGTCTACAGTTCCTACCCTTTACCTTTTCAAAGCTATAATCTATAATAGTTCCATATAAGTTCTTCATTTTAATTTTTTAAAGAGTTAATTTTATTCTTATTAAGATGGTGGGTACACTCAGTGGTGCTCAGGGCTTACTCCTGGCTCTGAGTTCAAGGATCACTCCTCGTGGCCTCGGGACGGTATGATCATCCATGTGCAAGGCATGGATCCTATCCACTGTCTTTCTCACCAGCCCCCTGAGTTCTTCATTTCAATAAGTCTGTTACCATGCCTTCTCTGTGTTCATTCTCTCTAGACCCTAGTCCATGTCTAGGATTCTTTTCTGGATATCTCCCTCTTCTCCCCTTCCCACTCCCTCCTCCATCCTCCACCCATTCTTATGCCATTTCATGATAATACCTCTGCTATGAAATGTTTCCTCCTCATAGCAGCTGTCATAAATATTAACAAATCCGCTTTGGCACATATCATTCTATCACAAATTGATCTCCAAGATAAAGAGGCCAGAGTGATAGTATAACAGGAACTGCATTTGCCTTGCACACAATCAACCCAGATTCAATTCCTGGCATCCTATATGGTCCCCTGAGCACCACCAGGAGTAATTCTTGAGTACAGAGCCAGAAGTAACCTGAGCATCAAAACAAATAAGAAAAGATCTTCAAGATAAAAATTGTTTCTACTAACATTTAATTTAGTTCTACTAAATAAAACACGGTATTTCATGACATCACTGTGATTTCTCCCATTATAGATATGCAAGAGGCATGGGCATTCCAACCGAAATATTTTTGTTCTCCCAGAAACACATAAAATCCAGTTTTATCACAAATTCTCCAAATGCTTTCTTTTAGCCATTTTATCTGTACTCAGAAGCATCGCTGGTGCACTATGTTGGGTCCAACTTCTTTAAATTCTGCAGCAGTAATCCACATGTCCTGGAAAGCTGACAGGGACGCAAGAATAGACCCTCCCATCCACACGGATATTTTCCTTTCTGGGGGAGCTATAATCTGCACAGGGGTGTTAGGAGGAGCCAACTTTGCTACATCCTTAGCTAGACGCTTGTCTAAGCCAGGAAAAGTGGTTGATCCCCCAGCAAGGATGATGTTGGAGAAGAAGGAACTCCTCAGGTCTGAATCACACTTCATTATACTGTTGAAGCACATCTTATCAATGCCAGGAGCATCCAGGTTCATGAGTGCCGGACTGAAGAGGGTCTCTGGACAATGGAAGAGCTGGTCATGGAGCCGGATCACCTTCCCATCAGGTAACTGGTACACTTTCTCTATACAATCTGGTTTCTTACATTTTTCCTCTTCGTAGTTCATTGTCACATAACAACAAGTTTCCTTAATGTCTGCAACAATCCTCCTGTCTGTAGAACCAAGCAGCATGATCCCGTGGTCCTTCAGCAGCGACGTGAGGAAGTTGGTGAGGTCGATGCCTGCCAGATCTAGCTGCAGGACCCCGTGGGGAAGACAGTAGCCCTCAAAGATAGGGATACTCTGGGTAACGCCAGCACCTGCACTCAGCACAAAGCCAGTTGTGAAGCCCGCAGCAAAGAGAGCCAGGACCCCCTGGATGGACATGTAGAAGGCAGGGACATTCAGGTGCTCAAAAAGCACTTCAGTGATTTGCTGCCTGTTGGCCAGTGGGTTGAGTGCTGGCTCGGTAAGCAACACTGGACCGTCACTGGGCTTTAGCTTCAGGTTATAATCATACATATGCTTCCACATGTTCTCCATATCCCCCCAGGAAGTAATGAGGCCTCGCTCCACCGGGTAGCTGTGGGAAGAGCAACAAGACAGATGTACTACTCTTTCAAACTCTAGTTAATCCCCCCACATCCACTACAATTCTGCCAATAGGGTCAAGCGGGGAGCTCTAGAATGCCCCTTGGAAACTAGCCCTTAGTGAGTAGTGAATGCCAGAGTCTCTCAGGAAAGTCATCTGTAGTGTTCGCTACTCTGCACTCCTCTCTGCCCATTTGAAAGACTGAGTTAAAAGGCGGTGGGGTGGGAGACACATTTCTTCTATCAGGATAGCTCAGAGATGAACGGAAGAACCCAGAGGTTTGGCGAATTAAAGTGTCCTTAAATAAGTTTGGATTTTTATGAACACTGACTTTAAACGTTTGGAAACGTGTGGAGCTAAAGGAAGCACACTCCGGGTATTCTGCACGGTGGGACTGTGATGACACCAGCAGGGTGAGCCACCGCTCTAGCTACCTCCTCTCCGCGTCCCCACTCCGGGTTCCCGCGGGCGCTCTCCGTGCAGTGGTCGCGGAGGGCCAGGTACCTGCTGAACGGCGAGAGGCGGGGGACGTGTACCTGATGGACAGCGCGGGACGGAGTTACCGGGTGCCTGCTAGATGGTGCGGGGCAGGGGGATGGACACCTGATGGACAGCGTGGGCCGGGGTGGACGGGTACCCGATGGACAGCGCGGGCCGGGGGACAGGTGCCTGCTGGACGGCGCAGGCGGGAGGACGGGTGCCTGCGGGATAGTGCGGGCCAAGGGACGGGTACCCGATGGACAGCGCGGGGCGGGGGACGGGTACCTGATGGACAGCGTGGGGCGGGGTTACCGGGTGCCTGCTGGACGGAGAGGGCGGGGGTACCCGATGGACAGCGCGGCCCGGGGGCACGGGTACCCGATGGACAGCGCGGGTCGGGGGACGGGTAGCCGATGGACAGCGTGGGCCAGGGGACGGGTGCCTGCTGGACGGCGCAGGCGGGAGGACGGATGCCTGCTGGACAGTGTGGGCCAGGGGACGGGTCCCCGATGGACAGCTCGGGGCGGGGACGTGTACCTGATGGACAGCGCGGGGCGGAGTTACCGGGTGCTTGCTGAATGGTGCGGGGCAGGGGGATGGACACCTGATGGACAGCGTGGGCCGGGGTGGACGGGTACCCGATGGACAGCGCGGGCCAGGGGACGGGTGCCTGCTGGACGGCGCAGGCGGGAGGACGGGTGCCTGCTGGACAGTGTGGGCCAGGGGACGGGTCCCCGATGGACAGCTCGGGGCGGGGACGTGTACCTGATGGACAGCGTGGGGCGGGGTTACGGGGTGCCTGCTGGACGGCGCGGGCGGGGGACGGGTACCTGATGGACAGCGCGTTCCTCCGCTCCTGCGCCTGGTCGCCCACGTACAGTTCGGACGCGCCCTCGCTCGCCAAGTTGTGGCCTTTGGCGCGACCGATGATGTTCGGGTAGACAAACTGGGGCTCCCGAGACCCAGCCAGGCCCGCTTTGATGACTTCCGAGCCGTTGTCGATGACCACCGGCACCTGGTAGTAGCTCATGTCGCTGCGGCCGCGGGAGGAGCCTGGAAGACGCAGCGCCAAGTGCGCAGCTCTGGGTTCGGACGCGGTGAAGCGCGGGGCCGCGGCCCGAACGCCGCGTCACAGAGGCCCGGCCCGGCCCCCCGCGCCCCCCAGCCGGAGACCCCCGCCCTGCTTCTTGTCCCCGCGCTCCTGCACCCCCCGGCCCGAGATCCCCGCCCGCCCCGCGTCCGTCCCCGCGCCCCGCTCCCCTGCGCCCCGCGCCCCGACTCCGGGACACCGTCCCGGGCATCCTGGGGCCAGTCGAGGCCCTTCGCAAAGTGGCTCCCGGCGATCGCTCCGGGAGCCGCGGAGGGAGTTTGAGTTTGCAAAGCCATAAAGTTCGGGCGAATATTTAGGGGACGGGGAGCGCTGAGCGCGCCTTGGAAGCGGGGAAAGGCGGGAGACGGGGCAGGGGACAGCGCGGAGGGGACACCCGGCCGGTGCTTCCCAAACAGCCGTCAGCCTCGCAGGAGGAAACGCCAAGTCTTAAAACGATTGTCGTTATTTTTATAAACTGGAACGCTTGCGGTTTCTAAAGAACACGAAGGACACGCGCGCGCGTGTGTCTTACATCGCGTCTCCCCTCCCCGTTACAGTCTGAAAGCTCATTCTCATTCCTGACTTTAAAAAAAGAATTCTTTTTAGGCATAAATATATGTCTGCCTCTTTGCAGGGAAAAAGAGAAGGTCATCTCTAAGATCAATACTTATGAAGGACACGTCAAAAAAATATATTAGGTGCTAAACGTTGGTTTTGGGAATCTGAGTGTTTGCGCTCTCAATCTTGCACACCCGCAGCGCGCAGTCAAGACCCCCAGGCGACCGCAGCGCGCAAGTCAAGACCCCCAGGCGACCGCTAGCGCTGCAGGGGCGCTGGGAGCCCTTTCCCTTCGCTCCGCCGAGGAACCGGCGTCCCAGCCCGCGCTCTAAGGAGGCAGCTGGGCTTGGCGCTGCCGGGCGAGGGGGGCAAGGGAGGGGCTCGCTCGGAGCAGCCCGACGGCGGCTGCAGCTCGCCAGCTCTCCTGGAGCATCCCCAGAGCTAGCCAGCGGGGAAGTAAAACTACTTTCCCCCGAAGCCTGTCCCAAAAGGAGGGATCACTGGCGGACTCCTGGTTTATACAGCGGCGCCTGGTTTATTCTGAGAGAAGGTGCATGCAAATCTCAACTTCCCCAAATTTTAGCATGGTTTAATTGGGTCTTTAGCTATTCTTTTTTATTCCCCTATTCTCAAACTGTATTCATATTACATTAAGATGAGAAGAACCGCACTGTATTACACAGTAATAGGGACCGTTCGGAGAGCCCAGGAGCAACTGGGTTTCCGTAGTGTAGTGGTTATCACGTTCGCCTAACACGCGAAAGGTCCCCGGTTCGAAACCGGGCGGAAACAAGCATCTTTTCTTCTTGCAAATACCTCCTTTGCTTCTCGCCAATACCTCCTTTGCTTCTCGCCATTTTTCCCCTTGGTACGATGATCTTCGCTAACTCTAGACGTTGTTTTATTTTTTTTCCGGTGTACTTAGGGGTCACGCTTTAGACCCAAGAAAAGTCAAATATCTTTGAACTACGAGACAACTTTTCAACAAAAAGTGGAATGAGAGGAAGCTATACTAGGAAAAAAATGAAACAGCCTCAAAATTTGCAACATATTCAAATATACCCTTATTCATAAACACGTACTTTTATTCATAAATAGGATTTTTAATAGAGAACAAAGGAAACAGTTTGATGGGGGGAAAAACCTTAAGAGAAGCCAATTTAAATAGGAATTGTTTAACACAAAGTCGCGAGAAAGTCTCTTATGGTCACTCTCCTCTCGTTGTTCATCGAGTTGGGTCCAGGAGGGACGGAGGAATGCGAACCAGGGTCGGACGGGCCGGCTGCGCGCAAGGCAAACGCCGCACCCGCTGCGCTGTCGCTCCAGGCCTAAATTTCTTATGGTACTGACAAATTTTAGAGAAAATTGCTATTTTGCGTGCTTGAGATACGAGGTCTACCAACAGTGCGAGAGAAACCTCCCGGACACAGAGACACGGTGTGTTCTGCTGTGTTACGGAGAGGAGGGGCCGGCGTCCGCTCCAGGGCCCGCATCCTTCCACGCGCTGCAAGATTTCCGAACCCGCGGCCACGGTGACACTTTCCCAGACCACCAGAACCGGGGGCCCTCCGGCCAGCCCGGCTGCCCGATCCTGCAGCGTCGCTCGCGCGCGGAGCTGGCAGGTTTGTCCCCGCGGGTTCGGGGGACCCCGGAGGGTTCTTGCTATGCATCTCGCCCGTGTCAAAACACTGCGGGAACCCCGGAGCTTTCAGGAACGTAAATACTGGAAAGGGGCGACGTCGCCTCAGCTCAAGGACTCCCCCGTGCCCCCTCCCCCATCCTGGGGCCCCTAGCAGTCCCCATCCCGGGGGCCCCGGGGAGGACGGGCAACTACAACCCCCAACATGCAGCGCGCAGCGGGGGCGCCGGCCAGGGTGCCCCGGGGTCGCCCGGGCCGGCGAGGTCGGCCGCGGACGCGGGCCTAGCAGGACCGACCCCCGAGTCGCTCGACTGAAACCCCTGGACCACGCAAGAGACGGGCATTTCGGAGCAGGCTCTCTAGGGGGGGTCTCCCGGCGGTGACGCTCGCGGCTCCAGCCGGGGCCGCCCCAGCCGCCGCGTTCCAGGGTGGAATCCGGCTCGTCCCGGCCGGCGTCGGAACTCTTAACGCCCCCGGGCGGCCGGCACCGGAAGTGACGTTGCGTGCCGGAAGAAGGGAAAGGCGGAGTGTGGCGTGCTGACGTCCCCCAAGATGGCGGAGCGAGGGTGAGCGAACTGTCCTCCCCTTTCACTTGAGGTGAGTCCTGGCTAACCGCCCCCCCCCCCCTTCCCACACCGCCGCTCCCCGGACGACCCTGGGCGTTTGGGCCGGCCGCGTCTGGCGTGCCAGCCACGCTCAGGGTGGGGGTGACCACGGGCAGGGCTGGGACGGGGCGGCCGTGCGGGTGGCCTCGGCCGCCAGCCCGCCCCACGGTGCAAGCCCGCGGGCATGGGAGCCGCGCGGAGGGCAGGGCGACGGCGTGGGACAGGCCGCTGCTGCCCGTCCCTCGCCGGGGCCACCTGGATTCGTGGTGGGGGGCGTGGCCTCAGGTGGGGGCGTGGTCTCGGGGCGGGGGCGGGGCCGCGCTCTCCGCCTCTGGGTGCACCCGGGGTCCCGGGAAGCGCTCGGGGGCCACGTGGAGGGCAGCTGGTCCCGGGCTCTGGGAGCCCTTGGCGGCGCCTCCGCGGGTGGCTCGGCCCCGTCCAGCCCCGGGAGTCGGGCTGGGTGGGTGCTTTGCTTTCGTGGTGTGTCCCTGGCTTGTGTCCTGGGGGTGACTCCCGGGCGGGCCCCGGGGACGTCTGCGCTCCGGCTCCGGGCGTCAATCGGAGCTGGGGAAGTTGTTTGTGAGTGTGCAGAGGCCGCTGGAAGCCGAGAGGCTGCAGTTGTAGGTGCCTAATCCCGAGGCAGGCCCTTTCGGCGCAGCTGTTGGGGATTGGGCGGGGCGGGAGTAGAAGCAAGTTCACGTGCAGAGCCGGGGGCTGGTCCCGGCTCCCCGTCCCGGTTGCCTGGATGAAACGTCCCATGGGGCTTTCGGAAATGCGGGTGTAGCCTCTGGCTTGCTTCTTGTCTTTTAGCGCGAGCGCGAGATTCCACCCCGATCGCAAGATGCAGTATTCCCACCACTGTGAGCACCTCTTAGAGAGACTGAACAAGCAGCGGGAAGCAGGTTTCCTCTGCGACTGCACGGTGGTGATCGGGGAATTCCAGTTTAAAGCGCACAGGAACGTGCTCGCCTCCTTCAGTGAGTATTTTGGTGCCATCTACAGAAGCACTTCTGAGCACAATGTCTTTCTTGATCAGAGTCAAGTGAAGGCTGATGGATTTCAGAAACTGTTGGAGTTTATATACACAGGAACATTAAATCTGGACAGGTAAAGTACACATTCACGTTCTCACTTTCAAAAGCTGGTCAAGCAATCTAGAGCTAAAGTACATTGGTATTCTTTGTCGTTAGTCCAGATATTCAGTTTAGTTTTTTTTTTTTTTTTGCCTAAGAACCCATGTGTAATGGATGCGCTAAATTTAAACCCTGCGGACCCTGTTCTGCTCTTCCGTGGAAGTAAATGAGATACAGTTGTGAATCATTATCCACATGATATGCCTGTTAGAAATTTGCCTTTTTAAAAGTTTAAGTAAAATCTATGGTTAATGTAACCACAGACTGTGTTAAATGGTTTGTGTTTGATGACTGTAGATGTGGATACCCAGGACTCCAGTCAGGATACAAAACCTTTCTCATCATCCAGAAAGTTTTCTTCTCTCACCTCATGTAATCACTTAATAACTACTGCGTTTGTGATTTCTATTCACTGTAGATGATTTTGCCTGTTTTTGAAATTCATAAAAAGGAACTAATATAAGACATTCATTTGTCTTAGGGCTGGAGCGATAGCACAGCAGGGAGGGCATTTGTCCTGCACGTGGCAGACCCAGGTTCGATTCCTCTGTCCCTCTCGGAGAGCCCAGCAAGCTACTGAGGGTATCCCACCTGGCAGAGCCTGACAAGCTCCCCTTGGCATATTTGATATGCCAAAAACGGTAACAAGTCTCACAATGGAGACATTACTGTTGCCCGCTCAAGCAAATTGATGAATAACCCGAGGGCAGTGCTAGAGTGCAGTGCTTTTTCTTTTGCCACGAGTCGCTGTGTTCCAGGCTTATTCCAGGCTCTGCTCAGGGGACCATATATGGTACCCCAGATCAGACAGGTTGACAACATGCAAGGCAAGGGTCTTCCCCTCTGTACTCTCAGGCTCCTATAATGGATTTTTTTTTACTTCATTCAGAAATTTTTTTTTTCAGAAGATATTTTAAGGGAAGGGAAAGCAGGGAAGTTCTCATATTCTCAGGGTTCTCCTAAAGGATTCTTTTCCCTTTGCCCATAGTGCTGTTTTAAATAAAAAAGGCAATATCACTTAATTTGTGATGAGCAGCCTGTCTGCCTCCCTGCTTTCTTCTTTGCTTCCTTCTTTGCTTCCTTCTTTGCTTGCTTGCTTACTCCCTTCCTTCCTTCCTCCTTTCCCTCCCTTCCCTCTCTTCCCTCCCCTCCCTCCTTCTTTCCTTCCAGCAGTGATCAGGGCTGTTTCTGCAATCAGTGATTATTCCTGGCAGGGTTCAGGGGACTCCTGGGGTGCTTGGATAGAATTCAGGTTCGCCCCGTGCAAGGCAGGTGCCCTATCTGCTGTGCTATCACTCCGCTCCCCTTATATTTCTTAATCAAGAAAGCAGAAATGTAAATAGAATTAAAGGCTTGTTTTTGATAATATTCAGTTCAATAAAATCAAATCTGTGATTTCATTTTTGAGACCCCCACTCCCAGTCGCAAGTTACAGTGTACAGGACCTCTTTCAAATCTTGATTCAGGAAAATAACTTTATTGGAGTATAAATGACTTCATTTTAATTATTATGTGTTGATTAAAGGAAAAAGCAGGGGCCAGAGGGGACCAGAGAGAGTATTGGAGGTTAGGGGCATAGCTTGGACACAGTGAGCCTGGTTGAATCCCTGGCATCACATATGGTCCCTAGAGCACAGAGCCAGAAGTAAGTCTGAGCTCCACTGGGTTGAGGCCCCGAAACCAGAAGAAGAAAAATAAAGAATAGATGAATCTGATCTGATAAATTAACGCAGTGACACAGGCGTATACAACCGATGGCTCACACTTGCATGTGATTTACCTCATACGATTTGCAGCAGAGTGTACTTGTGTTAACTTTGACTGTGATTCATTTGCAGTACTTCTGATTTAAACGTCCAGAATATGTCATGTAAAATAACCAAAACCAGTAAATTTTGGTTGATTATTCAGTGATTTTCTTTCTGGAAAAGTTTCAATTGATGTGAACACACCAAAAAGCATCTTTGAGCCTTCATGCAAAGAACTGTTGTGAAAAAGCCAGTGTCTTGTCCAATCTGGTTCTTTTTTTTTTTTTCATTTAGGGTTTTGGGCCACATCCGGCAGTGCTCAGGGCTTACTTTTGACTCTGCACTCAGGGATCACTCCTGGCAGACTCTGAGGACTATACGGAGTGCTGGGGATTGAACCCAGGTTGGCTGGGTGCAAGGCAGACACTCTACCTACTGTATTATTATTCCAACTCTTTCTGATCTGTTTTGATACTAACATCTTTCCTAGGGTGCTGGCGCCAACAAGCCACAAATGTAACAGAAGACTTAATCCAAAAATAGAAACGACATAAAATTTAGTGATTAAGAAAGCAGGAAAAATAATTGATGTGTATTTATCAAATTATTTGGTCAAATCTTTGTCCTAGTATCTCTGATCTTGGACAAATTTCTTCAATTTTTTGGACCTTTCATCTGTATATGAAGTAGGAATTATAAGAGATTTCATAGGCATGTTTTGAGAATTAAATGAATCATGTAAATAATTTAGTCATGTACTTGACAATATGTAATGATTTTCAGTTAACTGTTTATAAAAGTTGGCAAGCACTGTCACTTTATGTTTATAAACAAAAATCATATTAGTTATTGACACATGCTGATTGGTTGACTAAGATAATTTGTATGAATTATTGTTTTGGTACCGAATGATTAGTATGTGACTAAGTGCTGTTTGTATTAAAGGCTATTTGATTGTATTTCTTCTGTGGTGTATTTTCTGAAACATTAAGCACAGTTATAATTTGTTACAATTAAGTTAAAGCATAAATTTGTTTTTCATTTTAATGGTTTCTCTCATTAATAGATGATGGATAATACAATTACTAATCAATTAAATATCTACAATAAAAGGCTTAAGAAAATATTTTTAAAGAGCTCTAATGCTGTGTACAGTTGAAAATATTTTGCACTGAAGACAGGATTGTCTCTTTGGGGCATTTGTGTTTTATCTTTGCAAATAAAGAATGAACTTGATCACAAAGATCATCCCTTCTATATTCCAAAAAATTATAGCCACGAGCCATAAGGAAAGAGTATCCTTGTTTATGTTTTCTCTCTTTTTTTTAAAAATTTTATTTTGGTTTTCAGTATTTACTCCTGGCTCTGAGCTTGGGGATCACTCCTGGTGGGCTCAGAACCATATGAGGTGCTGGGGATTAAACTGCATCTGACGTGTGCAAGGCTTGGCCTGCTGTACTGTGGTTCTAGCTCTTCTTAAATGTTTTCTTTTTCTAGGGGAAAGCCTCATTTAAAAGTATACCATGCTCCAAAAGTTTATTTGTAATATATTAAGTAAGTTGGATGGAGTTTTCTGGAGATTAGAATGTCTCCTAAGCTGGAAGTTAAGTTTACAGAGTAGCCTATAAACATTCTTAATACATAATAAGATGAAAGATTATTACATGTTTAATTATTAAATAAATTGTACACCCGTTGTAAGTGTTAAGCATACCAGTGGCAAAAAAAAAAAAGCATACAAGTGTCATTTAAGGCAAAGGAGGTTTAATTATTAAAAAAATTTTTTTTGAGGTTTAATTTAATGATGAGAAAATGGTAAGGACTTGTAGGTAGATTTCTGGAATGCAGTATACCTTCTGAGACCTGAGAGATTCATGATTCTAGTTGCTTCTAATTTCAAATGTTATTTCTTAAAGTATAGTCATATTAACAGTACTACAGTCCATTAGCTATGATTTTTTTTTTTTTTTGCTTTTTGGGGCACACCCTGCGATGCACAGGGGTTAGTCCTGGCTCTGCATTCAGGAATTACCCCCGGCGGTGCTCAGGGGACCATATGGGATGCTGGGAATCGAATCCTGGGTTGGCCTCATGCAAGGCAAGCGCCCTACCCGTTGTGCTGTTGCTCCAGTCCCTATTAGCTATGATTTTAAAACCTTTGTGTGTGTATGTGTTGATTCATGTAAGAGGCAAAATGAAAATCTTTTTTTCCTGGAGACTTAAATGTATGCAAGTTAGGAAGATTACATGAAGTGGTAGAGGGGTTTTTGTGTGTGTTTGTTGTGGGTGAGCACATATGGTGTGCGGTGTATAGTGTTCTAAAATAACCAAAAAATGTATGGAGCATGGATTTTCTGTGTATTTTCTTTCTTTCTTTTTTTTTCTTTTTGGGTCACACCCAGTGATGCACAGGGGTTACTCCTGGTTCATGAACTCAGGAATTACTCCTGGCGGTACTCAGGGGACCATATGGGATGCTGGGAGTCGAACCTGGGTTGGCCGTGTGCAAGGCAAACGCCCTACCCGCTGTGCTATTGCTCCAGCCCCATGATTTTCTGTGTATTTTCATGCCAAATCATAGCTGAAAAAATTGAAGGGCCCCAAGATGCTGACTTACCATATTTATTTCAGGGCTTAATCCCTAGAGCAGTATTAGGCATTCTTTACATTGTATAAATTTTCAGAGGCCAGGCACTATTTGATATTTTCTAATAGAGCTCGTTACTATAATACATGGTAGAGACTCAGTAAATAAAGACGAGAACTTTTAACAAGATGACTTAAATAACTCTTGGTATTTATTTATGTGCTTGGTTTGGGGGTCAGAGGTGGTGGTGCTCAGGGCTTATTCCTGGCTCTGCACAGGGATTGCTCCTAGCAGGACTGGGAGGGCCGTGTGTGGTGCTGGCTTTGGAACCCTGCTTAGCCACAGGTAAGGCAAGTGCCCTACCTGCTGTACTATCTCTCTGGCCCAGATCTTTCTTTATAACGCTAATATGCAGCTTTCCAACTAACAGGTTGACATTTAAAAAAAAAAAAGTGGAGGAGAGAGGAGGATTACCAAGGGAAAGCATAACACATCTTAAGACTTCTTTCAAAGTAATCTAAGGACCAGATGCGTGGCCTCATTCAGGGAGTGTACCAGAAATACAAGCACAGGCATACTAAATCTGAATTTGTATATAACAAGAATAACAAGTTATTTACATGCACAAGAAAGAAAGCCCAGTTAAAAACTCTCATAGGAGCAAAGGAGGGAACAGGAAACTTTTCCTCGGAGGCCGCATGTAGCAGTGCTCAGGGCTTATTCCTGGCTCTGTGCTCAGGGCTTACTCCTGGCTCTGCACTCAGAGATCACTTCTGGGTCCCAGGGAATCTTGAGGGGTGTTAGAGCTCAAACCAGAGTCAGCCAGGGGCAGGTCTGCTTACATCTTTTAGTTAAGTTTTCGACAGTCATATTTGTGCTCAAAGGGTTGTTTTTTTCTTAAACAGCCAGAAATTGTTAACATTTATTTTTCTGTAGTGATAGGCCACTATTGAAGGCCATTATTTAGTTTTCATCTTCTGAAAGACTGTACATTTTTGCTTAACCATTATGATGGATGAATTCCATAATTTGTTCTCTTAAGTTTTTGCCCACTTTCTTATAGGGTCTTTAGAAGGCATTGAAATATGTGAATCTCTGTTCGAAAACAGTTTTTCTGTGGTCAGAATACTGTCATTTAGCCTTGTTTCCTTACAGTTGGAATGTTAAAGAAATTCATCAGGCTGCTGACTATCTCAAAGTGGAAGAGGTGGTCACTAAGTGTAAAATAAAGATGGAAGATTTTGCTTTTATTGCTAATCCCTCTTCTACAGAGATATCTAGTATTACTGGAAATATTGAATTGAATCAGCAGACTTGTCTCCTTACTCTCCGAGATTATAACAATCGGGAGAAGTCAGAACTATCTACAGATTTAATTCAGGCAAATGCCAAACAAGGGGCTTTATCAAGAAAGTCATCTCAAAGTAAAAAGAAGAAAAAAATTCTCAAATCCCAGAAAACTGGGCAGAATAAAACAGTGCAATATCCAAGTGACATTTTAGAGAGTGCATCTGTTGAAATTTTACTGGATGCAAGTAAGTTGTCTACCCCTGTAATAGAACAAGTTGCACAAAGAAATAATTCGGAACTGGAGTTGACATCAGTTGTGGAAAATACTTTTCCAGCACAAGATACCGTGCAGACTGTTCCAGTGAAACGGAAACGTGGAAAGTCACAGCCAAACTGTGCTCTGAAAGAACACTCTATGTCTAATATCGCCAGTGTCAAGAACTCGTTTGAACTGGAGAGTTCTGGAGAAGAGCTGGATCAGAGGTATCCCAAGGCCAAGCCAATGTGTAACACGTGTGGGAAGGTCTTTTCAGAAGCCAGCAGCTTGCGAAGGCACATGAGAATACATAAAGGAGTCAAACCTTATGTCTGCCACTTGTGTGGAAAGGCATTTACGCAGTGTAACCAGCTGAAAACGCATGTAAGAACTCATACAGGTAAGACTTTTGTGGCACGATAAAATTCTTTTCACATGAGACTGAAATAATACTTGAAAAGATACATTTTTTTATTGAATCACCGTGAGATGCAGTTACAAAGCTTTCATGATAAACTTTAGTCGTACAGTGATCTCTCAACATATATTTCTCCACCAGTGTCCCCAGAAATATCTCCCAGATATAGCTCTCTCAAGTATATCTCCCAGAAATAATATTTTTTTAGAGCACATACTAATAATGTAGACCTTGTGACCACAATTTGGTATATATTTGTAATTCATTAAAATATTTTCCATGATGGACGGTGAACTTTTTTGTGATTGAACAAGTATTTAATGAATTTCATTACAGCAGCTACTTCTGAAGTCCTAATGTATGAGTAATTTGAACCCTTTTCTCTCATAATTAAAAATAGCCATAAACTTAGTTCTAGCATGTTAAGTACTTAACAACCGATAAAGCAAAAAAGATCATTAAAACTTGGGCCAGTTCTCAGATTTCTCCATCACAGATTACCCTCTGCTTTCTAGAATTGTAAGCGTCTAAACAAATTTATTAGAATTACATGTTCCTTTCTCAGCCACTTTCACCTTTATTGGCACACTTAAATTTATATATTTTAGGATGTGCTATGTATTTCTCTCACTGATCTTATTTCACTACAGTGAATTAGGAAATACTAGTTTTTGTTAATTCTGTGTGTATTTTTAGTAGTCAGCCAGAAAAAGATTCTTAACCATACCAATGATGGTTCAATCCCCAGCACCACATTTGATCCCCTAGGACCACCAGAAGTGCTCCCTGAGTACAGAATTTAGGGTTAATCCTGAAGTTCTGCCATTTGTTATCCAAAAAGCCAAATAAGAAAAAAGAGATACTATTTGCTGTTTTACTCATAGCAGTTTCCCAAATACCAGTACTTACCTTTGGCAAGCCTTTTGAAGCCTTGTATGGTTTATGCAACTAGAAATAACCTTTTAAGTAAATATATGTTTTATTTATTTGTTCCTTCAGGTGAAAAGCCATACAAATGTGAATTGTGTGATAAAGGATTTGCTCAGAAATGCCAGCTCGTCTTCCATAGTCGCATGCATCATGGTGAGGAAAAACCCTATAAATGTGACGTATGCAATTTACAGTTTGCAACTTCTAGCAATCTCAAGATTCATGCAAGGTAAAAAAAAAAAATGAGTGTTTGATCTTCAAGTTTTTGATCTTCAAATTTGTCTTCACCATAGTCTTATAGGAAAAAAACCCACTATTTTAGAATCCAGGACAGTTAGAGTTCTAATTGTAGTTCTAATTCTAATTCCATCACTGACACATTCAAGGAACCATCAGAAGCCAAGTTGGCTGCAGAGAGCTGAACAAGGCCGGGGAAGATCAGGACAGTGACGGCACCTTCAGATGCCGTGAGGTTTGGAGGCCATTACAAAGCCATGCATTGTAATTAGTCCTTATTAATCAATTCCGGAGATTGTAAATGGTCTTCTATGGAACAGCAGCATTTCCCCAAATGGACCATTACATCCTACAAGGGGAATGATCCTGGGGCAAGGTGCAATCATGAGATTAAGAAAGAAGTGAGGTGATCTTACTTGAATTTTTAAGAGGACCATACTGGGGAAAGATTGTAGGATTCATGAGTGGAAGCAATGTGATTAGTTAGGAAACTATATATCAATGGTTTTCAAACTGCTCCACAGCCTAAGGACTACCTTATTTAATTTAGAGAACTGGTTTGCAGTCGCCCACCTGATCATAATTGTAAAAAAGTTGAAAACCACTGCTGTACTGATTGAAACCCCAAGTAACAGTGGTAATGCTTTGGGACAGATCTTAGCAGTGGAAGACATAAGTATTAACTAGACATAACTATTAACTATATAATACTTATATAATACTTATAAGACATAAGTAGTAACTAGACATAAGTATTGTAAAGATAGAAAAAAACAATTTTCTGTAAATTGGCTATAAGCGATGGAAGAAACAGAAAAATAAAATGAGTCCAAGGTTATGCACCTAAAAAGATGGAATTATCACAAAATGAAATTGAGATTTGTGGATATAGCAGTTCATATAGGAATATGTGGATTTAAGAGCAGAACTTTGAAAATGTTGAATTTCAGATGACTGTTATACTTTTGAATGGAGCTACAGTTAAGTATGGTGTTTAAGGAACTGATTAAAACTGAAGATGTGAAATTCAGTCATTAGCATACAGATTATTATTTTTTTTTGTAGGAGTACTGCTATTTATTCAGCCCCTGATTAGCTGATTGAATTGGGCATGAACTCCACCTTAATTTTTTTCTTTTTCTTTTTATATTTATTTATTGAATCACTGTGGGAAAAGTTTAAGTCTCGGTCATAGAATAATCAAATAATCAAATAATCAAATAGAATAATCAAACACCTTTCCCTTCACCAGTACTCATTTTTCACCACCAAGAACTCCAGTATGCCCCTCCCCCCACCTCCAATTGCCTGTGAGGCAGATGATTTCCAGCATACAGATTTTTTAAAAGCCCTCATAGTGGATAAAGTCAGGAAATGTGAATAGAAAAGACATCAAAGAACAGAGGAAACCCCAAAGGAAAGAGAGAGCCAAAGGGAATGCCCTGCCACAGGCGGGGTGTGGTGGAGGGATGGGAGGGCTTCTGGGATCATCGGTGGTGGAGAATGGGCACTGGTGGAGGGATGGGTACTTCATCATTGTATAACTGAAACCCAAGCACAAAAGTTTGTAAGTCTACAACTGTACCTCATGGTGTTTCACTAATAGAAAAAAAAAGAAGAAAAATAATAAATAAAAGTAAAATAAAGTCAAGCACACATTAAAAAAAAAAAAAAGAAAACCAGCAAAGGCTAAAAAAAGAACTTTGGAGAAGAGAAAATAAAAGTACAATAGTTGGTAAAGGAAGCAGAGAAATGGAGAACCAAGTGAGGTGAAGGATTTTTAATTTTAAAGGTGTAGTACCATCAGTATATTTATATGCTGTGACCTAATGGGATGGAAAAAAAATGATGTCTGAAAATGCAGGAGTGATAACATACATAGGCAGGAGAGCTCGTATTTAATTATGAATTGAAATTAGATTCAGATCCAATACTTCATATGTCTCCTTCGTAGTAAAAAGGGAAGTGAATAATTAAATACGTCTGTAGGTGGGGATGCCTCTAGGTTGTGAAGTGCACTATTGGAAATTTTCTTCTGATTGGTTTTTTTTCTCAGTAAAATGGACAAGGATGTAACACAATGAGGATGAATGAGGAGGTACTAGAGGAAAGGGTTTTTAGAAAAGTGAGTCAACAAGCAAAAATAATTACCCATAGAATTAAGGGTAGAGTTAAACTAACACATGATAGCAAAACTTTTCATCCTGATCTCAGAAGTAATATTTTGGTTGCAACCGAAACTTTTTGACAGTATTACACTAAAACTTGACTTTAAGTACTGAGTCTGTTAAGGTAAAATGAAATTAAACACTGCATGCAAACTTGGGTGAAAAGGCTCATCTGGATTGATCTCAATTATTTTACTTGTTACTAAGTAACTTCTGTTTAATTACTATTAGGAAGCATAGTGGAGAGAAGCCATATGTCTGTGATAGGTGTGGCCAGAGGTTCGCTCAGGCCAGCACGCTGACTTACCATGTTCGGAGGCATACTGGAGAAAAGCCTTACGTCTGTGATACCTGCGGGAAAGCGTTTGCTGTCTCTAGTTCTCTTATTACTCACTCTCGAAAACACACAGGTAAGAATTTCAGATAGAGAACCCGCTTAAAATAAGGTCAGAAAAGAGAAAGGGCACCTAAGCTTTTCCTGAAAATGGAGAATACTTAGTAGTTAGGTATCTGCTGTTGTATTTATTTTTGTAGCACTTTGTGTTAATAACTTAAATATTAGCTACAAAAGCTGACTTATTTTCTAAGAGAGTATTTTGGAGGTGAGCATTTTGTCAGTCACACAAGATTAAAATCAGATACTTCTGAAACTGTAAACTTGAGACATATTTTGTGACCTTTTTCATTTGCTTCTGGGCCATATTTGGTGGTGCTCAAGGGCTTACTCCTGGCTCTGTGCTCAGAGATCACTCCTGGCAGGATTTGGGAACCAGAGGGGGTGTCCGGAAGAGAACCCACATTGGCCATGTGCAAGGCAAATACCCCACCTGCTGTACTGTCACTCTGACCCCACATATTTTATGACATATTTAGAGAAACAAAACTTTCTTTTCCTTGGAAAAAACTGTAGTAAAGAGACTGGAGCCATAGCTCAGTGGGGAAGGCCGTTTGCCTTGCACACAGCTGACCCGGGTTCGAGTCCCAACATCCCATAGGGTCGGTCCCCTGTGCATTGCCAGGTGTGACCAAAAAAGAAAACAAACAAAAAACTGTAGTAGAGTTAATCAATGAGGGTGCTTTTAGGTAGAACATTGTTTTTTTATAACTTCTTAGGATATAAGTTATTGCATGGACGTTCTTTGTTTTGCAAAATGAATAGATATTCAAATGCAAAATTCGGTTTTGAAGCAAATTCTATTAAAAGATTTTCAATATTTGAAGTTTAATTTTTTTTTTTTTTTTTTTTTGCTTTTTGGGTCACACCTGGCAATGCACAGGTGTTACTCCTGGCTCTACACTCAGGAGTTATTCCATATGGGATGCTGGGAATCAAACCTGGGTTGGCCACGTGCAAGGCAAACGCCCTACGCGCTGTGCTATCTCTCCAGCCCTGAAGTTTAAATTTTTAATAATCTTTCTTAAATTATTTTATTCTTTATTAATATTGTTTATAACAAGAATTGAATTATCAGTTGCTGAATGTACATGATTTTAATCATTTGAAAAGTGAACCTTTTGGTTGACTCATCTCTATCGTGACAGTTACAGAAATAATTACTATATGAAAAGCAGCATTTAGAGGAAGTGTCAAATCATTACTAGTATTAATTGAAATTGGATCACTTTGAAAATGCCTTTAATACATAATAGCAATTTTAATCACATTTTTAGAAAAGCCAATTTTTTTTAATTTAATTTTTATTAGTGAAACACCATGTGGTACAGTTGTAGACTTTGGTGCTTGGGTTTCAGTTATACAGTGATCGAGTACCCATCCCTCCACCAGTGTCCATTCTCCACCACTAATGATCCCAGTAAACCGCCCACTCCCCCAATCCTTAACCGCCCCCCACCCCGCCCCACCTCGCCTCTGTGGCGGGGCAGTCCCTTTTGCTCCCTCGAAAAGCCAGCTTTTGATTAGTATAAACAATATTATATTGGTGTAGTACACTGCTGTTTTTATTTTTCATCTAGGTGAAAAACCCTACATATGTGGTATTTGTGGGAAAAGTTTTATTTCCTCAGGAGAGCTCAGCAAACATTTTAGATCCCATACAGGTCTGTATTACGGTAGAACAGAGTTTTTGTTCTAATTTCTTTTCATGTAAACCAGGTCTTTTAAACTTTTGTGTACTGCATAGTATCTAATCATAATATGCCTATAGTAGTAGTTTAATGTGTATACTTATTTATGTTTTGATTTATGGGCAACACCAGCTGTGCTCAGGGCTAACGCCAGGCTCTACTTGAAGGGATCTCTTAGGGGCCTGGGTGAGCATATCGGGTGCCTGGATTCAGACTCAGTGGGCGTATAAGTCAAGCATCCTACCCACTGTACTGTTTCCCTAGTCACTTTATAAGTATTTATTTTTTGAAAATTGGTTTAGTTGCTTATAGTGTAATTAAATTTGGTTAAGAATTGTGTAGATTTTCTAAGAAATATGCCAGGGAATTTCTTTGTTTGGGGGCCACACCCTCAGGCCTTACAGCTGGCTCTGGTCTCAGATACCACTCCTAGCAGACTTGGGGACCATATGGAGTGTCAGGGATCAAACTGGGTCAGCTTGGCAAGCTCTCTACCTGCTGTACTATTTCTCCAGTGTCCACAGATTATTTTTTTTTTCTTTTGCTTTTTGGGTCACACCCAGAGGCGGTGCACAGAGGTTACTCCTGGCTCTGCACTCAGAAATTACCCCTGGCAGTGCTCAGGGGACCATATGGGATGCTGGGAATTGAACCCGGGTTGGCCGCGTGCAAGGCAAACGTCCTACCTGCTGTGTTATTGCTCCAGCCCCAGATGATTACTTTTTAACTCACAAAAACATACCAAGAAATGAAAAGGAATATAATTCCAAGATTATATTAAATTATATTATTAAACAGCCTGTTGTTTGCAGGTTTTAGGAATAGAGTTTAGAATTGAGATGTTTATTATAAAAGTATTATGAAGAAAATACTGAATGTAAAAAAGCTTAAAGAGAAATACTTGTTTATTTTTTGTTTTTGGGCCTGCTTCGCACTTAATCCTGGTTCTGTGCTCAGGGATCACTTCGGGCAGTGCTCAGGTGACCATATAGGGTGCCAGGGTCAAACCCAGTTTGCTGGTGTGCAAGTTAAGCTCTACCTGCTGTACTATCGCTCCAGCCCCACCCTGTTCTCATTAAAAATATAAATATTCCTTGTAATTAGTATCAAGGCTAATGGGAGCACTTGGTACATATTTTACATTTATTGGCAACTTCTCCATTTTCAAAAGCCTTGTTACAGGTTTTAAAGCATTGAGCAATTCTTAATTTAAAAATAAAGCTTTATAGCGTATTTTTTCGATAAACGTTTTTAAAGATTTTCTAATTCAGAAGCTACCTAAGAAGGCAAACCATAATCACACTTTTTTCCCCTCTTCTTTACTGTATTTCTTAGCCAAGGTTTGGTATATAATTGGTACCCACTGGATGTCTGGTAGAAACAAAAAAGTCTTTGAAGAGTAAATTATTTTTTAATTGAAATTTGTCTTCATGAAAATATAATTTATCCCTGAAATAGGGGTGCTTTTTAATAAAAAAAGGCATACCTTTATAAACAGAAGTTATTTCACTATATTGGAATCAAATAATTAAAATGGAAATTTGATACTAAGTTTAAGGAGAATAGATTTTGCCTTATGTTGATAAACACTGACGATTTTGCTTTCGCTGGAAAGTTCTAAAATGGTTGAAATTTTAAGCCTTTGAACTTGTTTTTCAGGAGAAAGACCATTTATCTGTGAATTGTGTGGAAATTCTTATACAGATATTAAAAATTTAAAGAAACACAAAACAAAAGTCCATTCCGGTAAATGCTTTTTGGGGTGGGGGGGGGCGGGTGAGGGGAGTTGTTTGTCTCCGGTCTCTGCAGCAGTGCTTGAGAGCCCAGGGGCCTTCCAGCGAGGGACTCAATGGGGGCGTGCCCACGCTGCTCACAGGCTGCAGGATCACCTGGAACACGCCAGGCAGTGTCAGGGGTCAGCGGGGATGCTGCCTGAAAGATCTGTGCTCAGACCCTTACACTGTTTCCTCAGCTCCTGAATACCTGTGTTTAAAGAGGAATTGGTGCCTTTCCTTAAAATACGCATTCTAATAGTTCAAATTAGATAATGTAGTTCGTGAAAGAGTTAGACACATGTGAGAAGTTTACATTTGTAGTGTACAGATAAGCACACATTGGATTTCTTTTTATATTGACCTCATATGAAAATTCTTGAAGTATTTCTTCCCTTAAACCAATTAATAACAGTTTCAACAATGAAGGAATATATTAACTATGCCTCAGGAATATTTGAACCCTAGTTCAGAACTATGAGGATACCAGGAAATAACGTACCACCAAATTGTTTTATGAAAAGAGGAGAAGCCAGCCGACAAAGTATTGAGATTGTTGTTCACGATGAAGACTTGAAGTTATTTCTGTGCTTATTATCGTTTTGTGTCAAAATGTTTGGCTTCTCCCAGTGCATTGACAGTCATGATTGTCACATCCCAAAACCTCAGTCATTGATTGAACAAAGGTTTATTGGTTGCCTCGAAACTTGACATAATTGTGCAGGTTAATAAAGTTGAGCAAGGTCAGTTGAATCCTGGTCTTCCAAACATATAATCTGGCATAGGAAACAGCTATCTAGACAAGGAATTATGATTACAAGACTGATAACAGGGTAGGAGATTAAACCCTTCTGAGGTTAGTGTTGGTTAGGACTTAATTCTAGGGAACCCACAATGGAGAATTCAAAGAATGGAGATGGGGAAGAGAAGGTTCATTCTAAGCAGAGAACACCAAAAGGACCACAGGTTGGTTGTATTTGTGTCTGGTTGAACTGAGGAGCACTCTGGCAAGAATAGATGATTGATTGGTTTTGGTTTTTGGGCCACACCCAGTGCTGCTCTTGTCCTCAGGGGCAACGCCTAGCAGGACTCAGGGAACCCTGTGTGGTACTGAGGATCGAAACGGGATGACTCGTTTGCAAGGCAGAACCTTATAGTTACCCCATAGACTGATTTTCCTGCCCTAGACAATGATTTTATAAACGCAATTATGTAACAAAGTAATCTTTGATAGTAAGATAGAATTTAATGTCAGTACTTTGGAGTGACAAGAGCATGATAAAACTGGTGGGAGTCGTGATGGCCAAAGTGCATTTTTAGGGGCTGGAGTGATAGTAAGGTGGGCATGGTGCTTGCCTTGTACGCGGATGACCCGGCTTAGATCCCTAATATCCCTTATAGTCCCCTAAGCACGGCCAGGAGTAATTTCTAAATGCAGAGCAGGGGTAACCCCTGAGCATCTTAAAGGGTGACCCAAAACCAAACCAAAACAAAAAGTACATCTTTGGGCTGTGGAGTAATTACTTCTTTGAGTAAACCATAATTTCTCACCTCTGATAGTATATGAAACTGCCTTACCTTGAACTTGATCTCACAGTAGAGTATGAACTACTCATTTATTCATGGAGTGAACAAGTAGAGTATTGGTTATGAATAGCAGTATTAATATTTTGAAGGACATTAAAAAGTGTAGGCTCACATTTAGCTCCAGAAGCAGTGTAGATGGTGACGTATCTCAGAATAATGTTTAATAGCCATAATAGAAATAGACATCACAAAGCTGTATATGGAAAATTGATTGGCACCCTCACCTTGGTCTAAAATGATCAAGTTTGTTTTATTTTTATGTATTTTTTGGGCCACACTTAGCTGTGATCTCTCTACTCATGGATCAATTCTGGCAGCGGGCAGGTAGATGGAACCCAGGTCAGCCCTGCGCAGGCAGACACGTCACATGCTGTACTATTTCTCCGGCCTTTCAGCTCATTTTTTATGGAATTATATGATTGAACCTGACCATGAGGACACATATTAGATTTGTCTATAAAATGAGCAGGGCAGGGGGAACCACCCTCTTTAAGTTAAAGTGTGAAGGTGTGAAATGCAAATGCTGAAAATAGTAAACATATTTAGCCTACTTGGTGGGTTTTGCTTTGTTTTAAAAAACTGAGTAAATTTTTTCCCCCTTCCATATTAGGTGCAGATAAAACTCTGGATTCCAGTGTAGAGGATCACACCTTGGGTGAACACAATTCCATACAAAAAAGTCCTTTATCAGAGACGTTGGATGTGAAGCCCTCTGATATGACTCTGCCACTTACTCTTCCCCTGGGGACTGAGGACCAGCACATGCTCCTGCCTGTCACAGATCATCATTCTCCTACATCAGATACACTGCTGCGATCAACTGTGAATGGGTACTCAGAACCCCAGTTGATTTTTCTACAGCAATTGTACTGACTTTGTGAGAAACGCACATTTGCTAAGATGTTCTCTAGTAGCAAACAAACGTCTCTGGTAAGGTGCATATATTCCTACTCAGCTGCCATTCATTTGAGTTGGATCATTATTTTTCATTCACTGAAGTAAAAGCAGCTGATACTACATCATATCTGTGCAATGCTTGTTTTTGTTTTTGTTTTTTATATCTAGGTTATATATGCAATGATTGAATTGTACTGTTTTGGTTGGATAAATTCTTATTTTCGTTTAGAGCTGTCTTGATTCCATTTTTACTATGAAGTTTCCTTTTATTTATCTAAGTGGAATCGGTCCATTTATAGGATTTGTTTTCTCTTTTTTGGGTCAGACCCGGTGGTGCTTGGAGGAACCAGGCAGGCCTGGGGTCAAACCTGGGGCTTCCACATGCAACGCATGTACATCAGCTTTATGAGCATCTCTCTGGCCTCTGATGGTTCAGTTTTGACCTATGGAATTTTTTTCCCTTCTCAAAATTTAAGCAAACTCCAGGATAATATCAGCCTAAGTGTGATTTTTTTTTTTATATATAATTTCCGTTGACCAAAACATACAATAGGGAAAGTAAAATTTAGTATTTTACCTAAACAAATTTAGGGACTGAATAAGAATTGTGCTGTTTCCCTGTTAGTATGTTCTATTTAAAATTTTTCAATAAAAACAAAAGAAAACTTTTCCCTAACAGAAAAACGCTACGTGAATATTTGTTTAGAATGTGGTATTCTGGAGGAAACTCATCTTTTTAATTATTTGAGATTGCATTTTTTTTAAGAATTTCAATCACGTTTATTACTAAAAATTTCAATTGATACAGATCTTTCACTTGTCAGACAGTTGATAATCTCCAGAGGAAAATACATCAAAAGCATATATACAATTACAGAAGTTCTTATTATACATGTAGCCTGGATGGTACATTATTTATCACTTTTTACAGAACTAGAAAACGTCCAAATGAAGATGAATAGATTCAAACTGGATGATAAACTTCTGATGGTTGAGGTCCTTCATTTAATTTTTTGTGATAAGAAAATCCAAAATTAGTAATGTTGAATTTCTCATCATACATTCATCTAAAAGCACAGTGAAAAAAGTAAACCTTGTAAAGACAGTAAATTGGTTATTTTAGGTGTTTCACAAGTCGCTTGTTATCTCATCCATCAACTGCTGGAGGTTTCTGCACAGTGCAGAGAATGGGGTGGCCAGGCCGAAATTGTTGTTGTAATTGTTGAGGTGGTCCCCGTTCCCGTCGAGAGCCGCCTCGGACATCATCTCCACTTTCATCTGAGGTCCTGATTCTTTCTTTGGAGGTCCACAATCACGGAATTCAGGAAATCTATCTGCCTAGCTCTGGAGCTCCCTTTTGGTCTCTTTGCGTTGAAGCTCCAAGTGTTTGACCTTGGGCTCCAGCTTCACCTTGTCAGGTTCCAGGGATTGAACAACTGAATGCAAGGACTTGGCGGAGGCATTTTCTCCCCTGAGCAAGGAGACCTGCAACACAGGGGTCGAGATTGCATTTTCAATATGAAATTTAAGTAGGTACTTGGTGTTTTTTTCTTGTAAAAAGTTTCACAATGGATGCAGTTTATGTTTTAATAAATTTCTAGATTACGAGAGATGAAAATATATTGAGTTTTGAAAGTTTTTGGTAAACCTCACTTACAAGTGTTATGCACTTTTATAAACTATTAAGTTCTTAAAAGAATTTTCTAAATATGAACTTAATTCTACTCTAAATAAAAATCACTTGGCTTCCGAATCTGATGTTTTATTAAAAAGTTAAAAATTAACTTCGATTTTTAGCAAACTTAAGTTAATCAGAAAGCCAATTTATTGAATGTTTTATATTTGCATTTTCTATAAATTTTAAGTTTAAATTTTTATAAACCACATTTTATTGTAGTTTTATAGTAGTCCTTTTGTTTTTAATGACTAGGGAATTTAGTATGGTTTTGATATTTCCTGCCCCTCTTTCCCACATGATTTCTTTCATTGTTCAGTTTTGGATATTAAATAGTTTCTACAAATTCAGCTCCTAAAGTTGATCCAATCAGTTTGGTGATATTAGTTCTTCCGCCAGGCATTAGTTGTGACTTATTTCTTTTCTGACATTAAACTATAGTTCTAATAAACTAATGTATTTTCTAATGGCAGTGATCGTTTCTATTGTACTTCTTCTGCGGTCCTAGTCAGGGACCTTCTGGAAAAGAAAAACAAAATTTAATCTTTTTAAACTTGTCATCATTTTCACAGCACACTCAGCATTTTCATAACAAATGACCACTAGTGGAAATAACTGTATAAAGTTTGAAACGTTGCCAAACTATAAAATACACCATACTTAGTGCTTTTTAAACTATCTAAGGACTCTTATTATGCATATGCATTAACCTAATATACTTATTTTAAATGTAGTTTATAAAGTTATAAAGTATTCAACTATTCTGGCTTAAAGTCAATAGGAATTGACTGGAATATGAAAAAATTGAAGAAAATTAGAAGTCACAGTCTCTTTAAATATACCTACATGCCAAGGTTATTATTATTTCACATATTCATTGATCCAAGCATCTAAGGAAGAATTTTTTAAAAACATGCTCCAGTAGATTTCTCAGTTTTCTGAGGGCAACACTTTGGCAAATTTTCTGTTATGATAATTAGCATTTTGCCTTTGCATAATTTTGATTTTCCGTTTTAGTACTATTGGATTGGTATCACTAAGGTTGATTTGCTTGTTTTCCTTTGTCACATTAGATGTCATGTACTGAGAATAATTTTGTTATAAATATACATCACTTAACGCTTTTCCAGAATGAGATGCGAGAGATCTTGAGACCAGTATCCTGTCATGTCATTCCCCTCAAGTTTAACTTAATACACATATACTTTAGCAGCAGCAGCTATCAGTCTAAAACTCCCCATTGCCATGTTAATTAAGTTCTACTTTTCTATATTCTTTGCTTACAATACAGTGTTTTGTAAACAACCTATGTAAATAGTGCCAGGTATTTGTGAAAGCCTTGGATACTGCAGATGTCATTGAGAAATTCGTTTCTTATTGAAATCTGTTTTGATTATAAACTTGAAAAAGAAAGCACATCATATAGAGATTGTGTTTAGGATTTTTACTATGTTGTGGGGTTTCATCCAGTGGTGTTCAGGGGACCAGGGATTGGTAGGAATCAGTTCATTTTCAACTGTAGGGTCGTTTTATTTCTTTCAGAAATTATGTAATTGAGTAGTTGAAATGTCATTATAAGATAATGTACAGGTGCTCATTTAAAAAATGTTAGAGTAATACATTTAACATGTGAAATAGTATCTAAGCCCTACATTAGGTATAGTAAATCAGGCAATCTCTGGGACATAGACATGATGGGAAAGCCCTACAAGTGATCTTTAGTGTGTTAAACACGGAGAACGATTATCCTAAGCACATCTTTCTTTGGTAAACACTTTAAACAACTGTTAACTTTCTGTCAGTTACTTTAGGCGCTGTGTCTTTAAAACTTAGGTAAGAAAACAAATGGTAAAAAGCAATTGTGTTTTAGTTCAGTTCTGCATTTTATTATTTAAGTCATCTTTTCAAAATCATTATGAAAATACTATTATGTAATATTGGACCAGTGACATGGTGCACTTTATGTCCTCAGCAGTCCACCTCTATTCATTGAAGAGACGTGATGTGTTTGGGGTCAGAGGGATAGGACAGAGCTTAGGGCATTTTCCTTGAATGTGGGCAAACCTAGGTTTAATCCGTGGCACCCCATGTGGTCCCCTGAGCTCACCAGGTTAATTTCTGAGTGCAAAGCCAGCAGGACAGTGCCCTGAGCAGTACCCTGCATGGCCCCGAAACAAACAAAAATGAATTTAATTTCAGATGTTCTCTGGGGCAGACATGATAGTTCAGTGGGTAGTACCTGACCTTGCACTTGTCCAGTTGGGTTCAATCGTACCATGACCACCTCAGCTTGGAGCATCAAAGAACCATCCTGACTCCCAGAACTGTTGGACATTTCTGGTAGCTGCCAGACCCATCTGAAATCACTTCTCTTGCACTCATCCCCAGCCCAACAGTAGTAAAGGAAACTACCTCTAAAGTGCTTCTTTTCTTTTCTTTCCTTTCCTCTTTTCTTTTCTTTTCTTTTCTTTTCTTTTCTTTTCTTTTCTTTTCTTTTCTGCAGTGTAGGAGTTCTGCTATTTATTGAGCCACTGATTAAGCTGAATTGGGCATGAACTCTTAATTTTATTTTATTTTAACTTTACTTTTTATTTTTGGCTATTTTGGGTCACAACAGGTTATTCCTCAGGGGCGCTGCACTCAGGATTCACCTGGCGGTGCTTGGGGGACCATATTGGATGCCAGGGCCTGAATCCGGGTTCGCTGAGTACAAGGCAAACTCTGCCTGCTTTACTATTGCTCGACCCCTAATTTTTTTTTAAGTGGATATCCATGAGATAGACCTTTACAAAATTGTTCATAGTTGGGTTGCAGTCATACACTGATCCAGCACCCATCCCTTCACCAGCGTACATTTCCACCACCATTTCCCTTGTTTCCCTACCACCATCCTCCAAGTGCCAACCTCCCTCCTCCAGCCTGATTCTATGGAAGGCACTTTCCTTCTTGCTCTCTCTCTCCTTTTATTTTCATGCATTCTGGTTTACAATACAGGTGCTAAGGTCATGGTGTTTTTCAGGGCAGTGGGTTTTTTTTTATCAGGATGGTAAGACTGGAGTAGCTTTTCAATTGAGAGGCCGCTTTGGGGTGTGGATATGACTGCCGAGGCTTCTGGAAGGACTGGGAGGTGGGGGGAGGTAGCCTATCCTCACCCCAAGAAAGCCTGAAGATTTCTGTCACAAAACCCGCATACCAGAAATTTCAACAGATTATATCTTGGTGAGGTCTGTCCTGAGATGGTGGAGTCAGACCTGGGCTATGGCAGCAATTTTGGATTGTGGAAGCAAATGGCAACGGGGGCCTCTGCTTGGACAGGCACAGGCCAACCCACCACCCTCTGATTTACTCCAGTGCGTTCAGTCATGTGCGGATCTGAGGTTAACTGTGGCTTTTGATCTCTTTCGTGATATATTGATGGGTCTCTGAAGCAAGACCTGTAGCAGAGCTTATACGGTAGAGCTGGAGATGGTTTGTGGGGGTGACTGGGTGCTTCCATGAGTATTGGGAAGTAGGGGGAGGTAACCCACTCCAACTCTGAGAACGCCTGGAGATTTCCGTCATAAAACCTGCTTACCAGAATTTTCAATCGATTACATCGTGGTGATGATCCAGGCTGAGACGGAGGTGTCAGACCTGGAGTATGGCAGCAATTTTGGATTTTGGTAGCAAGCAGCTGCTGGGGGCTCTGTTTGCGTGGGCACCAGGCCAGCTTACTCCCCCCCCCACCCCCCCGGCTTACCCCGATTTACTCAGGTCTGTTCAGCCATTCATGGGCTCGGCTTACTGCGGCTTTTGATCTTGTTTGAGATTTATTTATGTGTCTCTGAAATAAGGCCAATAAATGAGCTTGTGTAGCTGATCCAGAGGTGGTTTGTGGTCATGGCTCCCACGTACCTAACTTTGGCCATCTGATTTCTTGGTAAACTTTGCTCCCAAGTTGTTGGGGTCCAGCCAAAGGTACAGTGGCAATCTGGGGTATCAGGAAGCCTGAAGGTACCATCAGGCTGCTGATGCATTGCCCTGCAGGTACAGGCTGACCTGCTGGTGCCACCTACCTGCATAGTGCATTTACTCTTTCTTGTAAGGACCTAATGTCTACCTAAAAGGATTACACAGTGTAAATGCAAGTAGATTATCGCACAGCAAGAGCCCCAAAAGTCACTCCAGTTCACTATCTGTGCTCAGATTTAGAAAGCAGGCTACCATGTAGGGAGTTAGAGGAAGCGCTGGTCCTGGCTGCTTTCTCCTCTTTGCAGACGTAGACACTGATGTGAGAGGGACCGTGGATTTTACTGGTTGCCAAAAACCTTGTCTCACTAGAGAGTTCGTCTTTATAGTTTCCAGAGATAGAGGTCAAAGGGCTCTTTGTTCTCAAAAAGAATCTTGGAGTCTCGAGAAAGTCACAGAAAGATACGGTTAACCTACTCCCTTGGACCATTTGGGTCGCTTTGGCCATGCTCAGATCCTACATGAGAGGCAGTTGCTGAGCAGACTTGTGGGGATAATTGAGAAGTTTGAGGCGACCTGGAGCCAAAGCACCTGGCCACTGACTGGGATGGGGCCTGAAGACCAGCCTCACCCTGGTCTAATCCCAATATTTGTCCTAAATTTCCACAGCTTTTGTGTCCAAGTTTCTGAGCCTTCACAGAATCCCAGTGCAGTTGAAGAATTGCTCAAAATTTTTCCTGCAGCAGAGGGGTTTCCAGGGATTTGGTGTTGGAGAGGATGTTAGATGCCAAGTTATAACCCAGGCATTCACATACCCGAACTGTAGGATAACACTCTTTTGTCCTTCCTCAGGTAGCTTAGGTTTGTCAGGTCGCACCCATCTAAGGACACTGAACTTGTATTGTAAGCAATGTCCTTTCTGTGTGGACACAGGAAGACAGTTAATATTATGCTTTGTAACTTGGGAGTTGATTGACTCCGAATAATATTTACTCCTGGGCATCTGATTTCTTGACTCAGTTGCCCTTAGTTCCGAGCACCCCAAAAGCAGGGTCCCGACGAGGGACTGAATGGACCCAGGGCAAGCAATGAGCTACCCTGGCATCGAAATGGGCCAGGCCAAAGAGCCACGATACTCAACTATGAGTTGAGGGCATGATCATGGACAAATGCTGTCATGATCCAAAAGTAAGTAACGACGAGACCAGGACCCTGCTGGGGCTAGGAAGACTAACCTGGCCTGAGGACTGCGAAATGTATAGTGAGATGTTCTCAGGAAGAACCAAACTAAATTTATACCTCTTTCTGTGCTCATACAGAATGACATTGCTAGAAATATTAGAAGTAGATTTATTACAACTATTAATCTACAACTAGTAGATTACTAACTGAGGGAAGAACACACCCTTGTTGGGATCCCACCCTTGGGCGGATCTCCTAGTAATCTGAAGTAATCCCTGTAGATGAGATTTTATCCTTGAGTTAATCTGGAGGAGTGGTCTTACCTCTCTTTGTTGATTCGTC